CAGCTGTGCATAGAAACCAATCAGCTTCCGTTTTTTATTGTTAACCACTTCCAGTCCGAACACTTTTACCCCCCCTTCCTGACCAGGGCAATTTTCAGCTTTCAGCGCTATCACACTTTGAATGACAACTGCGTGGTCATGCGACACTGTACCCAAATGAATTTTTTTACCATTTTTTGAGACAGATAAAGCTTTATTTTGGTGGTATTTATTCACCGCTGGGATTTTAATTTTTTTTGCTATGTAAATGAAAGTCCAAACATTTTGAAAAGTTTTTTTTTTTTTTTTATAAAATTTTGCAAATAAATATTTCATCATAAATCTTTGCCAAAATGTATTCAGTTATCTTTTTAGTAAAAAAAAAAAATCCAAATTAATTTATAACCAAAAATAATTTTTAAACTTTTTTTTTTTTTTTTTTTTTTTTTACATTTTTATTTATTTTTAATATTTTTTTTTTTTTTAACATACTGTCACCCTAGCAGTACAGTGTCACCATTTTTTTTTTTTTTTTTTTACAGTGATTGCTTTTACACCCATATAGGATGTAAAAGCAATCATTTTTCTTTCTCTCTGTCTGCATTCTTGCACTCATTGAGAAGTACTGAGTGAGCTGTGATTGGTCACAGCTTGTCACATTGTACAAGGCTGTTGTGAATAGCCTTGTACCATGTGACCTCTGTGATCATTCACAGATTTCACACGTAGTAAGGAATGATGTCAACATGCAACCATGTTTTGAAGGTGCTGAATGAAGGGGCCGTGTGAGCTGAGAATCTGATGACATCCAGGTGTGGGAGCTTCCCTCGGTAACCAGAGCTGTGGCTAAGTGAAGCTGATCATGTCCAAGACCCTGATCCTGTTCAGAGAAAGGAAGATTGCTGCCAGTAATGCTGATGAGAGCAGAGGAACAATGCAGCATGCACTGCAATATCGCAAGCTTGTTGGAGAGACATTTGTTCTGTTCAGAGGCACCAGCTGATGAAAAGCAGACCGGGTCGGTAAGATCGTGCACGCACCTCATTTCAGTGTTGGCGCCTAGAGACTGAGTCCAGGCCTATAGTTAGGGTCTCTGTTTGTGTCAGGCAACAAAAGTTGTTATTGATTATTGGAAGGACTCCACAACTTAAAGTGACATTTCACATTGGAGAGCTGATAAAATCCTACAAACTCAAGCCAGACTGGCATTTTGCTCAGAAGGAATACTCAGGCACGTGCTACAGGACCAGTCATGGGAGGGGGAATACTGTAGATTTGTGTAAGATTGTAAGCTGTTGTGCTGCACCGCAGGCTAGCCCATACCGTACCCCCATACACTGATTCCTGCTCTTTTAGGGTAATAACAGGTAAGGTGTGCAGCTTAGTTGTGCCCCCCAGTAGGTAAATTACTTCACTTTCTACCTTCATCCATCAGGAGGCGCCGTGCTGTGCAGCACAAGGGTCTCAGCCTTTGGGCTGGGTGTATGTAAATTTATTGTATGTTCTCAGCATTTGTGGTTGTGTTTATTTGCCACATCTAAGTAAAATTCTGTTGTGGCAAAAGCTGGTGTTGGGGTTGCTTTCCTCGTTCGTGACTTCACTGTATCCTGGGGAGCCCACCCCGGTACACGGCTTACACATTCAGAGGTGTATCTACCACAAGGCAAACTAGGCGTTTGCCCTGGGCGGAACTCTCCATCAGTAAAATCACACAACCTCCAAACTCTGATGCTGGCAGAAGTAACACAGTAATCTGTTACTATTTAAACAGGTCACTGAATCCAGCTTGACAGGAAGTGGTTTATTTACTAAAGCTGGAGAGTCCAAAATCAGACTCCCTTCTGCATAGAAACCAATCAGCTTCCAGGTTTCATTGCCAAAGCTTCATTGAACAAGCTGAGGTTAGAAGCTGATTGGTTTCTATGCAGAAGGGAGTCTGATTTTGGACTCTCCAGCTTTAGTAAATAAACCCCGATATGTCAATGTGCAGTGGGCTTCCCCACTATGATAATAGAGCAGCCTGTGATTGTATTTTTTTGTTTCTTTGTATTTACAAAACTTGTCTATAGTTTACGTAAGTGTTAATAGTGAATATGTAAGTACTAAGTTCTACTTCAGGTAACATCATCTAATTTCATTCATCATAGCATTGTTACTATCCTTAGCAGCCATGAGTAACAGGCGAAAAAGGCTAAGCAGAGCAGGGTACGGAAAAAATGCCAAAATAAGGCGGAAAAACAAACAAGGGAGATTAAACAGACAGGAAAAATTGCTCTGGTTTTCACCAAACCTGTGGTCTCTCCTAGTACTGAAAAGGGTGGGGAGGTGTTTGAAGATTTAACTGGTGACATTTATGAAACTGATGTAGTTGAAATGTCATAACTGCATAAAGCAGAGGGTTCCAGTAGTATTATCAGTGAAACTGAGACTTCTAAATCTGGTGGAGGACTGTTGACTTCAAGAGAATTTGATGATCCTGCCATACTAGTAGGAGTGAGCTCTGACCCTGCTGAATGGGTTTTAAATGATTATACCTGAGACCATGTGGTTAAACATGGAATAATTCAAAATGACAATCTGGACTTCACACAGTCTAGAAGGCTGTATGACAACACCTTTTAGGATGCTAACGAAACACCTGTTTTGAAAAAGAAACGTTTAATGGTGAGAAACAAAAAAGGAGCTATCTGTTTTCTCCAAAAGCAAAGGAGTAAGTGTTTTGTGCTCCATGCCGTTTGTTTGGTCCCAGTTGGCAAAGAATGGCTTCAATGATTGGAAAAATGTCACAGCTCGATTAAATGAACACGAGCGTTCAGCTGAACACAAATCTTGTGTGCTGTCTTTAAAATCAAAAGCATGTACATTGGGGAAAATTGATGAAAGTCTCACAAAGCAGTTTTTGGATCAAATCCAAAATTGGAGAAATGTGTTAGAGTTGCTGCTGTTATCCTCCCTGCGGTATTCCCGAGTGTAGCTCGGGTAAAGTTTCAGTACCAAAAGTGGTAACCCCGAGCTACACTCGGGCTTACCATGCGGCGTTGCTCAGGGATTCCCTGCAGCACTTACCTTGTCCTTCGCTCCCGCGATGTGTCCCCTGCAGCGTCCCCGGCCATCTCCTCCGGCCGATGCCGGCATCCGGCTTCCGTGTTCCGGTCCCTGTGACGTCGGGACGTACGGGCGCTGGAACCGGCGGCAAATTTGAAATTTTTAAATGTCATTTTTTTTAAAAATGATTATTACATAGTAAAACATTGCTATTTCAAAGCATTTCACATACATTTTGTCCTTACTGCTTTGTCCGGCGCCCTGCCTGCATTTTTGACTGCTCTTTCTGCCTGGAAACTGAGAAATGTCCATGGTGTCCAAAAAGCGTCCCTTTATGTCAAAAGCGGTTTTAGACCGGCTAGAGAACAGCGATAGTAAATCAGAACCACTTGCAGAATTGAGTGATAATGATTCGTGGGGAAATTCCTCATCAGACAATGAAAACGATTCTGCGACTTTGCTCAGCGATGTGCGAACTTGGCGCTCTATTTCAAATTTCAGTGTTTTTGGTTTGATTATATTATTGAATTAAATTTATTATTATTATATTATTTTGTATGATTATTTATTAAATTATAATTTATGATTTTGTGTTTCAAGTTTTATCATACCCGGGATGTTTACTAGACTCTTGTTCGGACAGATTTCAGTGAGTTATTCCTAAAAATTACAGCCTACAATAAAAAAAACGACATATTTCCATGCAAAAAAATGGTTCCGCTTTCAGCACCAAAAATCTGAAATAATCAGACCGCTAGGAGGTTAAGGCTCTTGGTACTGGAGGACTTGCTTTCAGAGGAAAGATAACCATTTTGGTTCCACACACAATGGAAACTACATGATGTTTGAATGTCTTTCAGAATTTGACCCGTTTATAGTTGAACACATTGTCCGTTATGGCAATGCAGGAAAAAGAGTCACATCTTACCTCTCGTTTGCTACTTGTGAGACTTTTATTCAGCTTATGGCTGATAATAATGTTACAAAACAGTTAAAGAGGCAAAGGCAGTGAAATATTATTCTATTATTGTTGATTCAACACCAGATAGCGCCCAGATCGATCAGCTGGCCTTCGTCTTAAGGTATGTCAAGGAAGATGGCTTATCAATTGAGCGCTTTCTACAATTCATTCCAAATCCTGGGCATAAATCGTAAACAACTGGCTGAAGTGGTCTTCACCACTCTTGAAGCGGAGTTCCAAAAGTTCCAAAAACTGTATCTGCTGACTTTTAAAAAAAAGACGCACACTTACCTGTCCCTCGGTCCCGCGGTGTGTCCCCTGCAGCCCATTTTACCAGCCGTCTCCTCTCCCTGGGCGCTGGCATCTTCAGTGTGGGCACCCAGCTATGACAGCTTGCGGCGTCACAGCCAGGTACCCGCTGTGCATGTGCGAGTAGCGCTGCACTTCCTGAATGGTTCTGTGGTCCTTCTGGGACCTGCCACATGACCCAAAAGACTGAGGAGGGAGGAAGGGAGGACACCGTCTACTTCCGATCGCCGGAAGTGGGAGCAGGTACTTGTCAAATTCGGGTACCCACCCCCCCGCCCCCCAAAGGTGCCAATCCTTAATGGGGAGGGGGGGGACCAGTGGAACTTCCCCTTTTTGGTGGAGCTCCGCTTTAAGTCCTATGATCTTGACTGTCGTGGTCAGTCATATGATAATGCAAGCAATATGTCTGGTCATTATAGAGGATTGCAAGCCAGAATTCTGGAAAGAAACCCACTTGCTGTTTATGTTCCATGCTGTGCACACTTAAATCTAGTAGGGAAGCATGCTGCTGAAAGTTACACTGAATTCTGCTCATTTTTCTGTCTCCTACAATACCTTTACATTTTTTTTTTTTTTTTACTGCTTCTACTCACAGATGGGATATTTTACAAGAACACTTATCACCTGTGCCCTCTACCATTGAAGAGATTATCTGACACACGGTGGTCAGCTAGAGAAGATGCTTGTCGGAGCTTAAATCTGAATTGTTCTCAAGTAGTCCAAGCCCAGGGGCGGACTGACCATTTGGAAACTCTGGCACTGCCCGAGGGCCCGGGGTCAGTAGGGGGCCCCATGAGATGCCCCTGGTACCCTTTTCATAGACTTTTTTGAGTTTGGGCAAGGACACGGGCCCCATGATCCCCTATTGCCCGGGGGCCCCATGAGTTGTCAGTCCGCCCCTGTGGACCAAGCCTTAACAACAATTAAGGAAAATGCCACAGAGGCACTAGGAGCGAGGAAGCTGAAGGTCTACTGAATACAATACAACATTTGGAGACTGCACTTATGAGTGGTTTGCGGGGTACTATTCTACACAGATTTGGTGCAGTTAGTAAGAAACTCTAAAGCATTGACATTGATGTTGGAATTGTATTGGAGCTGTATGAATCACTGATTCAGTTTGCTCATGACACCAGAGAAATGTTCGTGACTTATAAGCTACAGCAATGGAAAAATCAACTGTCAAGGATTATGAGATCAAGAGGAAAGGTATACAATCGAGGAAAAGTTCAGCAACTTCCAGCAAGACACAAGCAGAGGAAGCTCAAGAAAATTTCCGGATAAACACCTTTTTATGTAATTTGTGACAACCTAGTTGCTGAGCTTGAAAGAAGAAAAACTGCAAATGACTTTGTTTAGAAATTTTTAATTCATTATGGACCTATCAAAAATGGAGCCATCCGCAATATCACAGCATGCAAGTCACCTTTTGTAACAGGAGTGTTTTGGTGATGAGTGCCTCCACTTTCGTTCATACCTCATATGTTCTTCTGCAGAACATACCTCTGTTCTAGCTATGTCCCAAATGATGAGAGAAAGAGGACTGCAAAGTATATATCCAAATGTGGACATTGATCTAAAAATGTTTTTGTGCACAGCAGCAAGCAGGGGCGGACTGACAACTCATGGGGCCCCTGGGCAATAGGGGATCATGGGGCCCCTGTGTCCTTGCCCAAACTTAAAAAAGCCTATGATAAAGGTACCAGGGGCATCTCATGGGGCCCCCTACTGCCCCCTGAGCCCTCGGGCAGTGCCCGAGTTTCTAAATGGTCAGTCCGCCCCTGGTAGCAAGTAACTGCTCAGCTGAGCATTCTTTTTCAGCTTTGAAGTGTGTGAAAAACTACTTGTGATCCGGAATGGAAGCGGAAAGGTTGAACTCCATGGCTGTGTTGGCAACTGAGTCTGAACTCACAAAATCTTTGGACTATGATGAGCTTATCAACAGCTTTGCCACACAGAGAGTTCATCGAAAGTCACTTAAATTTACAAATGTGAATTAGATAAACTAAAGGTTTTATGTGGAATGATGTTCAACAGTTTCCACTTATTTAAGTTATAATACTTTTGTTTATATGTTTTATTCGGCTCTGAAGTGGGGGGGGGGGCCCTCGAGAGCGCTCAGCCATGTGACTTTTGGTATCCAGCATGATTCTGTCAGATAAAGGAGCATAGGATTCTGACAGGCACAACCAAAAAGAGGCACAGGACTGGACAATGTTTATTAAAATAGAAAGCAAGTGCCTTTGTATAGGCGGCTACAAATTGCATTTAAGTTAAAATTATTTATATATTTGATTATTTAAATAAAGTGAAAATGGTTGAATTTACATTTTTCATTATTTTATAGCCTCCCTGATGGTATTCCTGAGTGTAGCTCGGGGTAAAGTTTCAGTACCACAAGCAGTAACCCCGAGCTACACTTGGGCTTACCATGCGGCGCTGCTCAGGGATCTGTTCTTCACTTACCTTGTCCTGCTCTCCAGCGATGTCCCTCCTGCAGTGTCCCCAGCCATGTCCTCCGGTGGATGTCGGCATCTGTCTTCTGGGTTCCGTTCCCTGCAAGCGTCGGGACGTATGGGGGACGGAATGGCGGGAAACTTGAAAATGACAAAAAGTGACATTCACTAAAATCACATAGTATAACATTCCTGTATCAACCCATTTCACATACATTTTGTCCGGCTCCCTGCCTGCATTTTTACTGTTCTTTCTGCCTGGAAACTGAGAAACGTCCATGGCGTCCAAAAAGTGTCCCTTTAGGTCAGACGCGGTTTTAGACCGACTAGAGAACAGCGATAGTAAATCAGAACCACTTGCAGAATTGAGTGATAATGATTCGTGGGGGAAATTCCTCATCAGACACTGAAAACTATTTTGCGACTTTGCTCAGTGATGTGCGAACTTGGCGCTATATTTCAAATTTCAGTGTTTTTGGTTTGATTATATTATTGAATTAAATTTATTATTATAATATTAATTTTTATGATTATTTATTAAATTATAATTTATGATTTCGTGTTTCCAATTTTATCATATCCGGGATGTTTACTAGACTCTTGTTCGGACAGATTTCAGTGAGTTATTCCTAAAAATTACAGCCTACAATAAAAAAAATACATTTTTCCATGCAAAACAATGTACCGCTTTGAGCACAGAAATATGGTCAGACAGCTAGGGAGTTAAATAATATATGCAACATTTGTAATGGTACATAAAACAACAAAATATATGCACTAGTTATCCACTGTTAACGTACAGAGAAGAAGAGGTGGAGCTCTAATAGGAAAAAGTGGAGCCTAAACAGGAAGGGGTGGAGTTTGCAGCTGAAGGGGTGGATCTTAAACAGGAAGGCGTGGGGCACATTTAAATGCAGTGGGGTGCCCAATTTTAGTCTTGCCTAGGGCAGCACAAAACCAAAATTAAACCACTGTGTGAATGGACCCTTATTTATTCACAACATTTTAACTTTATTGCTAAGGCAAGCAAAAACCTGACAGTTGCTGCTGTTTAACCTCCCTGGCGGTATGATTCTTTCCGATTTTTTGTGCTGAAAGCGGTACCATTTTTTTGCATGGAAATATGTAGTTTTTTATTGTAGGCTGTAATTTTTAGGAAACTCACTGAAATCTTTCCGAACAAGAGTCTAGTAAACATCCCGGGGAGGATAAAACTTGAAACACCAAATCATAAATTATAATTTAATAAATAATCATAAAAAATAATATAATAATTTAATTCAATAATATAATCAAACCAAAAACACTGAAATTTGAAATACAGAGGCAAATTCGCACATCGCTGAGCAAAGTCGCAAAATCGTTTTCAGTGTCTGATGAGGAATTTCCCCCACGAATCATCACTCATTTCTGCAAGTGGTTCTGATTTACTATCGCTGTTCTAAAACCGCTTTTGACGTAAAGGGACGCTTTTTGGACGCCATGGGCTTTTCTAAGTTTCCAGGCAGAAAGAACAGACAAAATGCAGGCAGGGCGCCGGACAAAGCAGTAGGGACAAAATATATGTGAAATGCATTGAAACAGCAATGACAGCAAAAATGACATTTTTAAAAAAAATTCAAATTTCCCGCCGTTTCCGGCGCCCGTACGTCCCGACGTCACAGGGACCGGAACACAGAAGCCGGATGCCGGCATCGGCCGGAGGAGATGGCCGGGGACGCTGCAGGGGACGCATCGTGGGAGCGAAGGACAAGGTAAGTGCTGCAGGGACCCCCGGAGAACGCCGCATGGTAAGCCCGAGTGTAGTTCGGGGTTACCGTTCTTGGTACTCAAATTTTACCCCGAGCTACACTCGGGAACACCGCTAAGGAGGTTAAATGACAGCCTTACTTTACGGTGTCTATCATGCTGTGAATGTGAATTGTGAGAAGTCAGGCAGCTGAGTCCCCAATAGCCCAAATAAAATGCCAGACTCCGACAACAAAAAAAAGTTAAATATAGCAGAAATGCAAATGATCATAAGTAAGCCTATTAGAACAATTAAACACAAACAAATTCAGATTCTAATTATTCATAAGCGTATTCAAGACTGGTTCTCTTTCAGGTGGCAGCACATGGTACCACAAACTGGCGATTTTCTCAAAACCAATATATTAAATGTGTTTAAGTCTAAATTCAATTTCAGGTATGTCTGCCTGTGCATTACATCTGCACTACTTTGGCTTAAACTAAATTCAAAATATTTTTTCCCAAACTACAAGGTGAATCCCAGCATTGCAATGTTATTTCGGAGTAACCTTCAATATCCTTTTGAAAGCACATTTAAAAATAAAATCTATTTTCAGCTGGTAGCAATACACCAGCTGGAAGCACTGCGCCATTTCTTATGCAAAGTTGGAGAAATTTAATTTAAATGTACTTTTATCATATCAGGGGATTTCCATTCAAATAGTATCCATTAATATAGCAAACTTTGCAAATATTTAAAAATAATCCTTTGACTCAATGTAAAAACTCTGCTCCAAGTAAAGTTCAAAGGATCCCTACAACCTCAAATTCGGTGATAGAATTTATGATCTACTTTAATATATTTGGTGACATGATAAATTTAGGTAAATGATGTGTTCAATATTTATGGTAAATAATTGTACTGTTAAGAAACACTGTTAAAAATTATAACAAAAAGTACCTAAGAACACTACACAGTATAACAGCATTCTGCTATAAATATTAACTTTTCCTCATTTTGTATTTAAGCCAGGTACAGAAGACTGGTGTTTCATTTTTTGCATTTTCTTAACCACTTGCCGTCCGCCGGCTGTTATAAACGGCAGGATGGTGGCACTCCAGGGGCGGGTTGCTGTTCATAAACGGCACCCGCCATTTCTAGCTGTGCGTGCTCCCCGGGAGCACGCAGCACCGTGATCCTGTGCCCGCTGTGTCCTCCGGACACAGTGAAACACCGATCGTCGGACGGGACCTCTGTACGAGGTCCCAATCATGTGATCACTGATAGGCCAATCAGTGATCACATGCAAAGTAGTAAAGCAAGATGTCACTTGTGAGGACATTGCTTACTACGTGTGAAATCAGTTAATGATCACAGAGGTCACATGGTACAAAGCTATTTCACAACAGCCCTGTACCATGTGACAAGCTGTGACCAATCACAGCTCACTCTGGATTCTTGCAGCCATTGAGAACTACTGACAGAGAGAAATTATTGCTTTTACATCCTATATGGGTGTAAAAGCAATCACTGTAAAAAAAAAAATAAAAAAAAAAATCACCCCCCACAAGTAGTACAGTGTCACCATGGTGACAGTATGTAAAAAAAAAAAAATTCATATAAAATTTTTTAAAAATTATACTTTTTGGTTAAACTAATTTGGCTTATTTTTTTACTAAAAAACGGATTACAATATAATTGTGGCCAAGATTTATGATGAAAGATTATTTATTTGCAAAATTTTATAAGAAACACTTTTTTTCAAAATTTTTGGACTTTCATTTACATAGGAAAAAAAAAAAAAAATCCATCCCAGCGGTGAATAAATACCACCAAAATAAAGCTTTATCTGTCTCAAAAAAATGGTAAATTCAT